TGATTATCGTTCACTGATAGCTCACTATGTGTAAGTATTTTCGCAAAATTGTTGAATAAGTCTCACGATCGAGTAAGTTACTGAATAAAATTCATAATAATCGTAGCATCAGCACTCTCTACGCGGTCAACTCAGCAAAACTGCAAAGATCATATTAAAATCATCGCAATTCAACTTAATCATTCACGAAAGTGCTGAATAAACTCATATGTTTCTATTCTCAATACACAATAACAAAACCATTATGATTTCAACAATAATTGTCAATATGAAGCATTTGAAAACGGCTATAATCATCAAGTGATATGAACAGCAATAACATGAACAAATCAGATCAAATCAAATCAATTCATTAACAACAGCAATAATAATAATAATAATAAATCAGTGAAAACATCTGAGATATTTATGTCGATCATTTTATTCATACATTCATCAATCAAATTACATTCAGTCGTCGAAATCATTAAGTCGTCATCTTCATTCGTTCATGCGATTAAAATCAATTACAACAACAATATATATATTACAAAGAAAGCCAGTGTCAGCTCTCGGCACCATCAATACTTTCGAGAACTTTACTGTTAATCACGGGTCGATCATCATTCACAGTCAGAGAGAGCGGCCCTCGACTGTCGGCCGTTTGTACGGACAAACCGTTGTCTAGGTCGTTCGGCCTGTATGTCATATAGCCGAGAATTGCGGCCAATATTGAAACTAGTTTACAAACAACAGCTGAAAGCATTACCATTGATTAGAGACAATGCACAGTGGTCAAATATGATCGGAAATGCCTTTTATACAGCATGAAACGTGACTGAAATTTGGAACTTTGCACACAACCAAGCCCAAGTCTTGGCTTTATGCTCAGAAGAACGAGCGAGGAATTACGTTGCCTGACGGTTATAAAATAGGGGTGGATGAGAGTCGCTTTTGAAATGTTGATAAAATTTCGAAATTTCACAATTGTTCCGTATTCCCGCAAGCAAGTAGCGCGGAAGGAATAGAACAAATTTTCTTACCAACAGCCATAATTGTCCATGAGAGTCGGTAAGGATCGTAGACAAGACACGATTGTTTAGCACCACAAGCTTCTTGCCACTTCAAACAGGCCGTATCGATCATCATTCCGAATAAAATACCACCAGGAATGAATCCTAGAAACGTTTGTTCATTTGTTCATCACCTCAGTGGAGCAATTTCATAGATGAACTGAGACCAATTTGAAAATAAGAGTGTACGTTCGAGGAAATACAATGATGAGATAAATATTCAACCTAATAGGCGAAGGAACGTCCAATGAACGCCAATCCCGAGTGTACGTTGCTGGAACGGAACAACACGCAACATTATCTGAAATTGCTTCTTACGTTTTCTGAGTGTTCATCAACCTCAACAAATCAGCGTTCACATAATCAATACAACGTTTGCTACTGAACAAATTTCGGTTAGAATATGACAGTCAGATAGTGACAGGACACAGAAAAACGAATTCTTTCGCGAAGAGAGCAAGTTTATCTCATTAATCTTCACCTTAATCCTACACAACCTAGCACTATCGCATGTTCGATCGCTCAGTAACAAAATATTCATTATGATGTTCACTGATTGTGAACTATCGACGGAAATCTGTCTGAAGACAGTAGCATAAGAATAAAAGATGAATCGTATCGCACGATCGTACCTGTTGCGAGGGTATACCAGAAGCAAAGCTGGCAACAACAGAAAGGAATAACAAAAACAGAAATATCCATTCTCCATAACCGCATTTCTTCTCACAGAATCCTTGCCTCAGATTATCACTACTATTTAATAAAGGATTACGTCCCAACGATGCCATCTCGTCCAAGCATTTACAATCGTCCCAAAATGTACCCTTAAACTGAGCTTGTCACTGACATCATACGAATCAATTCTCCAGATATCAGAGAATCATGCATTCTGCTGACGAAATAAAATCGCTCACTTAAGAGCTATGAACATACTACATATTGAGAATATTGCAGAGATTGTTTATTTTTCTCTTTTATGACTTGCATGCAATATAGCACTTTATGATGCCTAGTTTAGTGTAGCGCTAGTGAATGCTTACAACTTCAACTCCCGATAGGCACCCTCTTGATCTCTGAAGTGGATTTGAAGCGATGCTAATGAAA